CTGTGATATTTATTGTTCATTTGATGCCATTTGTCTTAAATCTGACCCTTTAGCTATAGCTTCCTTTAGTAAATCTTGTGTTCTGCCATCCAATTCATAAACATATACACTACTCAGTAGTCCTACAATATGCTAAGATGAATGATGACATTTCTGGGACTCTCCTTATGCGTTGAGTGTCGTTGTAATGATATGCCTCAACTCACTTAATCTTCACAACAGCCCTATGATTTAGTTATTAGTGTTCTTCCCATTTTATAGAAAAGAAAATTAAGTCTCAGGGAGATTGACTAACTTTTATAGCTACTAACGGAGGAAGGCAGAATTCAAATTAAGATCCATCGGGTTCCAAAGCTTCAGGTGATGATCCCGTAATTTCAAGCCAAACCTTTCTGTCAGGAAATCTACCAGTCTTCAGTCAAAGGGGGCGTTTGTTCTGAAATGCAATTTGGAGATCCAGAAATTAAAGAAAAAGAGGTGATCCAGTCCCAATTTTTGTACATTTTTTAATCTGTTTCTCTAGATAGCCCTTGGGTTGGCTAATTGTGTTTTTTCCTGTTGTAAAAAATGCTATTTCTGTTTAAGTGCTGCTGGATTTGGAAATCATTGTCATGACTAAATTTTTTTTTTTTTTGCCTAAGAAGAGCCCATCGTAGGGCTATGCTGCCAGTGGGTACTCAGTAAAGATTAATGGATGGCCATGCATGATTGTGTGGGAGTCGTGTGCGTAGGATCTGCTCAGTTCTCCAAAAGAGACAGAAAGCATGTGGGGAAGGTGAAAAATCACAGGATCGCCACCCAGTCCAGCTCTTGGGTTTCTTTGTTTGACTGTGTCATTTAAGGGTCCCAAAAGCCCAGGTACAGAAAGAATGGGAATATGGAGCCTGGTGTTTTCTTGAGAAATGATTGGGAAGTGCTGTGAAAATTAGATTTCAGGGCCCACTTCCAAAATTAATATCAACTATGAGAGAAAACTTGGTTCTCTGATGAGGACTGAAGAGAGTCAAATATATTTTTTTAATCGACACATTTTCTATTATTATATACATATAAAGATGATGAGTAATATGCCATATCAGATGGTTTATTCAAACTGTCAGAATCAGGGCTGAGGCGTGAGTAACTTTCCAGAGAAATTCAAGCAGTGGAAAGTGGCAGTAACCAGTCATAAATTTATCTGCTAGCCAGACATCCCTCTAAATCTTGGAGGAATAAGAAAGTTCCTCCCAAATTACAAGGTGGGACATTTCTAGAGAAAAGGAATTTCAACTTCACGGAAAAACCAAGTGTCTACACACTGCCTGGGTGTGTGCGCTCAGTAGGACTGGAGTCAGCCATGGACCTGATAGATGATGCCTTCATCATGAATGATGACTACTGAGCACGTTTCCAAATCTCAGAACTTCCAGGTGTTAGGGCCCTCACTAGCAAAACCAAGCTTTGCTTTGGCATCAGAGAAAATGGAAAGAGGAAAGCCTGCCTCCATTACTGGGACCAGTACCGGAGGTCTCAGGCTGGGATGGGGTGTGTTTATATTGTGGCGTAAAGGAAAAAGTACAGGCATACCTCAGAGATATTGTGGGTTTGGTTCCAGACCACCACAATAAAATGAATATTGCAATAAAGCAAGCCACACAAATTTCTTTGTTTCCCAGTGCATATAAAAGTTATGTTTACACTGTACTATAGTCTATTAAATGTGCAATAGCATTATATCTAAACATATATATTTAACTAAAATTACTTTATTCCTGAAACATGGTAACCATCATCTGAACCTTCAGCGAGCCGTAATCTTTTTGTTGGCAGTTGTCACAAACCTTCAATCTGCACAAAACACAATTCATCTGTGAAGTGCAATCAAATGAGTTATGGTGTACTGGCACTGGATGGCCCTGATTCCGCTCACACCTCTGTGTCCCAGTCTCACCATCTTTAAAGTGAGCAGGTGGAGACTAGCTTTCTGGGGTCCATTCCAACTCTACCATTTCATGTCATCTGTGATGGGTTTCTCCATGAGCTGGGAATTCTTCAATGGGGAAACTCATGTATCTTGAGGCTTTCAATGACAATCGATTTATACAATTCTACCTTAAAAAAAACAACAACAAAAAACTCTGTTTTTATCTCCCACTGAACTCTCTTGAGCTATAAAAAGGTGTTATGAAGTTTGATAATTTGGTATATCAGAGTTTATTTCATTAATATATTACCCTCCATTGCTGGCATCACACTTTATTATTTATATTTTATTTATTTATTTATTTATTTATTTATTTATTTATTTATTTATTTACTTATTTATTTATTTATTTTGCCCAAAAAGTGACTTTTGAGAAGCATCCCAGAAGGTGTATTAGGAAATAGGCATTTTGGCCAGGAGAAAACTTAACTATGGGTCTGCAGCTTAAACACATGAAAATAAGGTAGCTCATGTGAACAGAAGCATTCTGAAATATATGTATAATTATGCCCAAGATATAGACTCACATTTATAAATAATAAAAGAGAGAGGTTTGAGAAGTGGGAAGGACTATCTTGCAGTAGCAGGAACAGCTCAGCAGCCAGGCAGAGAGAGAACATGGAGACCTGGGCCAGGCTTAGTCCCACTGCCTGACTCAGGGTTGATTCTCCCAGGAAAGACCTGAAGGAGCTGCTGACACTTCTCTTAAAAGAATCAGTGAACCTTTGTTTCCTTCACCCTGCTCATTTGACCTTACTTAGTTTTGCAACAGAGAAGAAAGAAAGAATGAGACCCGCGGGGTGGGGTGGGGGTAAGCAGAAAGAACAGAGAGGGAGGTGTCCGTGCTGTTAAGCCCACAGACAAGATCGTCATCCGGGAGGTTGTAGTTTGCTTGCTACAGTCTTATTTGTTCCTGCTTCTCATTTCACATTCTAGCCCTGATGTAATGTCACCATCTTCCCAGCCATCATCCTGGTATTGACAGGCAAATGTCACCCATGTTTGATTGACATCCATTGCTCCTGAATGCAAAAGTATGATTTACGAATCAATTCTACTTGTTTATTTCAAGCCGTTCTTGTGTGTCTTATGTATGTGTTCATGGGATAATTTGCCTCATAGCGATTCTAGGGGCTTTCCATTAATATTATAAACCCAGGTTGTTCCGCCTCTTGCACTCCCACTGCAAATGGGGCTCTTCTTTCTCATATTTTTTTTCTATTCCCCCCATCCCCCAACATACAGGCAGGAAATGTGCTATGGAGCTTACAGTACTCCCCACATCTTAGGAAAAAAGTCTTGCCCAGTCCTTTGGTAAATGTTGCCTTCTTTAGACTTTTGGAAGGCATTTTGATAAGTGATCATTTCTCATGCAGGTAGGACCTCAGTAAATGCAACTTCAGGTCAGTGGCTGTATCTTCTGAAAGGTTGCTGGAATGTTTAAGCCTGGAAGTGGAGCGCAGATGTGTACACTCACCATTTGCGGTATTTGTAAAAAGAACCAAACCCTCCCTCCTCCCTTATGCGTTGGGCATTTTTATTTAAAATCATGGAAATGTCCTTTGGCTTTTCAACACACCTTACTGCTCTCTGGATAACATCTTATTTCATTTTAGAAGGCTGGAGAGGAAAACCATAGGTTAAAAAAAAAATCCCATCTACCATCTGGAAAATTCTAAAGGGCCCTCCTTATGTTAAAAGTGGCATTTTGAAAAACACCTGAAGCACTGATTCTGGGTGAGCCTGTAGAGAGACACTGTCAACGAAGCCACCCTCCTTTCAACCTTCTCCACCTTCCAAGTGGGGCTGCTGGCGGTGGGGACCTAAAGGACTTAGGTGTGACCCTTGAGTTCTGAAGGCGATTGCACATTTGTCTCCCTCTCCCCTACGTTATGTCCAGGGAGAGCGCTGCCATCGCCTGGGTTCAGCAAGGGAGTAGTGTTCAGGATCTCACTGTTCATCCATGTGCAGAGAGGGGAAAAAAAGAGAGAGAGAGAGAGAGAGAGAGAGAGGCCGAAAAAAAAAATCCCACATTGTCAGAGTAATGCCAAACTCTCTCTGAGTGGGATGAGCAGAGCAGATGCTGCAATGAGATGCCAAAGCGGCTCCCCTTCCTCTGTGCTTTGGGTGCCTATAAATTGCTCCGGCGCGCGTTTTCAGCCTCCTCTTCTCCTGGCAGGTGGTACCCAGGCAGAATTCTGCGTTCAGTCGCGC